TCTTCATGGATTCTCGTTTAGTTTTACCCAAAAGCAACAACAGGGCAATTAATTCATCTCCCCTTAAACCCCAAGGAAACTCGCTAGTATGTATTTGAATAAGAACCCTGATTAATTATTTTTACACAGATTTAGGGAATTTTGATCTAGATATAAATGTAATATTCAGACAAAGAGATGTATGATGTTTTAACTGTGGTTTAGGGCCTGTAGATATATTAACGTGTGGATCAAAAGCATTCTTTAATATTTATTAGTTTCGTAAATACAGTAAAATTTCGCCTTAATAACCGCTAATCATAAAAGCTCAGATCTAAAATGAAGGCATTTTTGCCACTTAACACTCTACTACTTGGTATGGAACCCGTATTGAAGGGTGCTTTTTAATGCTTGAATGTAAATGAAATTCTCTTAAAGCGAAGTCGGAGACGAGAGCGAAGGTACGGTGGGACCACAGTCTAACCGACCCGATGAACCTGAAGTCAGACGATGGGCTTTATTATCATGTGGATTTCGGTGGTGTTCAGCCATGCCTCTACCTTTTGAGTGAATTCGAAGATCATCGTTTGAGAATGTGCATCCCCAATATTATCGAGAAGATCAAAACGGAATTTGTGAGTTCTTACTTCCAACTTGCTTTCATTGGAATCCATTTGCTAGTTCAATAAAAAGTTGGACGATATATTGTATTTCGCGGTTAAATTATATGAGTTCATAGCTCAATGAATCTTTAATCCTGAGCTGGTCAAATACTTTGCAACTGAGTTAAAATCGGGAAATTTACTCTTCCCTTCTTTTGGGGATATTGTCCCAACTTTCATTTGTGAAGCTAGAGACAAATACACGTTGATTGGAGTTTTTCTTGTTGGCTTTGCGCTGCTAGCAGTACGTAGCGTAAAGTTTTTAAAAAGTTTAGCACCTTTTAATACCTTCAAAATTTCAGCAGAAGGCCTATATTGTCGGTCTGCATGCGGTGTCACTTTGTTATTATTTTGAATTTCACTACTCATGCCCAGTTCTCTTCTTAACCAACTAGCTTAACAACTTGTGAAATTGTTGCATTATTCTGTTAAATACAAAGCTGCTACTTACTCTTCTCATTACTTAATGCATTGTCCACATTAGATAGACTTAGAGGTTAGGGTTGTTAATTAAGATTAAATTTTTTTGCATTAGAACATGTCTTGGATTTAAGTGTGAATTTCTTGTCTCTTACAAGTTGAATGCTGTTATCCTTTTCTAATATTTGTTATGGTATTTTGCAGACGTTTGCAATGGATCAGATTTACTACCTGCTCCAGCGCCGAAAGCCAGGATCGGCACGCCACCGAATGCGGCAAATCCTCCTCTACAAGAGTCGTATCTTCCGAAAGGCCGCAAACGATGTGCGCTCTTGTCGGGGTACTGCGCCTAAAACGTTGCTCGATCTCAGCTATCAGCGCCGAGTACGCGCCGACCTACTACGTATCGAGATCCTTCTCAAACGCCTTGGACGCAAACTCACCGGCGCCAACCTCTACGAGGCCATTCGGGAGGCCAATGCAGTGATCAAACGTTTGAGCGAGCTCATGGATTGTGTACGTTCCAAACGCCTCTCAGTCTTCGCTTTCAGGCTATTTTGTAGAGAAGGGTGATAGTAGGAAGTTCCCAAAGTTTCATTGCAGTTTACTTCTGTTCTGTAGCTATTTGGAGGGATAGAGAGGAGGTTGTTGCAGAGTTTCTGCGGTAGAATTCAAGCCCTAATAGCGCATATTTGAGACAAGTTCCGAATAAGGCTGCTCTTTTGAAAGTTACCAATTATCATCTAAATATTGTAAAAATCGAATAGGATTTGTATACAGTTTAAGGATGTGTAAGAATGGGCTTTTTTCATATTTAGCCACAACACGGCTTACCAGACGTCTTCGTCTCGATGGTTTTGGACAATAAGCGAATTGGATTTGTTCGAATTCCGGCTCGTGATATCTACTACTCAGCGTCGGATGAGGAACGAGGAAAACTTGCGTCGCAAGTGACAACTCACTTTGTGCGAGTAAGTGGGCGCCAAAGGCGACCTTCAAAGTCTTTATTTAAGATAGTCACGGCATCTGTTGTTTTCTGCACTTGTCCACTATAGAAACCTGGACATGAAGGAGTGGGAGAAAAGGGCTGGCGTATTCAATGTCAACTGCGAATGTATACCTGGTTGGGTCTCGTGAAGGACTATCTGGCTTACAAGAGGGGACTACCAGAAGGATATGATCCTGAGTGTGTGTCTGGAGTCGATCCTCCAAAATCACTCATTTATGTTGGTAAGGTCCGATGGCAGATTTAAAATTCCACAGGTGTCGCCATTTTTAAGGCGACTAATGCCACTATTATTTGTGAACGATTAATAGTTTGAGTACATTTATGGTTCTTTATGAAACACTCTCAGAATAATTCTAAGAACTTTTTTATGGACTGACCCATAAAGTAAAAAAATTCGTGCATCCTTATATTCTATTAATTTTAAAATGTTTTTCTTTAATCTTTAATGATATTGCAAAGTATATAACTACACTTTGCTAAAAACTACGAAATATGCGTTTTTTCTTTTGATAGATTTACTGTTTCTATTCCAGATTCGAGCAAATTTGAGCTGCGGTGCTACCTCTACCTGGCGAAGAATCTACTAGCATCCAATAAAACCGGTTTCTCCGATCCGATGGCACGGGTCCTAATAAATGACGAGATGCTGGAGACTTTCCCCATCTACGATACCATGAGTCCTCTGTGGGATCTCACCCTCATCAAAACCAATATCACCTTCTACCACAAACCGGAAAGTGTGCTGGCAAATCCACCACAAATTATCGTGGAATTTTTCGACGTCGATGCACCTGTATGTGCCAGTTGATAAGTGATAGCTCTATCTATTTGAATTACGTCACTGTTTACTTTGGAGAAAATATGTGACTGTCTTATTGCACTAACTATTATACGCCAGTCAAACCGGTAAATGAAGGAACCACGTGGGTTCAAACAATAACTAGTAAAGTAGTGCCATCGAAACATGACACGCTCTTGGCAAGTTGGCTTTGAGTGTGGTGAAGCCGTTATTTTACCAACTTTCATAATGCTAGGTGAAATCAGCAAGCTCTTGCAGAACATACCGCTCCATGTACCACTGTAATTTGAGCACTGAAGCAGCGCGACATTTCGTGGAAAGAAGTCAGAGTTATCGTTAATTAATGTTGACAGAGGATCATGTCATCTGGCAGATTTTGATATCCAAATGACTGTTTTATTCTAAAATAGCGAATATCTTGGTAATTACGCATCGTGTTTACACTTAGTCCTTATTTATTCTAAAGGCATGTCTCTTACCTCCTATTTTAGCTCGTGGTAATGTGGCAAGTTTTGCTTCATGTTGCAGTAAAATATGGGCATGTTTCACCCCCACCTCTTCACAGCACAGTTTATTTCAACTACTTTAAATTGTAAAAATTTCCGTTTCCATGTTGCTTTATTCATCGGTACACATTTTCTTTAGCAAATCCTTCAGTTTTTGAGGCATAATACACAAAACCCAGTCAATCCTTTGCATTATCACGAAACTGGAAACTTTTTCACCTCATGTCCAATCGTAGCTAAACGGGAGCTTGAGAAAATAGCTGCTAATAAAGGTTCTAGTTCCTGCCCATTATAGCCTGTAAGGAAGACAAATACTCAGCTTCCGACACAATTACATAGAATTTCTTTATCAATTGGTAACTAAAATTTGCGTAGAATCGTTCATGTGTTCTGCTAACATAAAGATCAGTAAATCCAAAATCATTGCTCCATAAATTTTATGCATCTAGGATTGAAACGCTTTTTTTTTCACATTAACCCTAATATTGAGCAGATCAGATTTTCAAGCAGTTTTATTCATATTATCAAACTTTCCATCCTATGCATTTTCATGCCTCATCATTTCATAACTAAATTTCATTGTGACCGTGCATGTGCATCGAAGACAAAAAACATTACACTCTTGGTTATCAACCTCAGGCTAACAAAATTGGGATTTGAATCCACACAAAATGAACACAAATGGCCATCTCCACTTTTCCTTCACACTTGCCATCTCTTGGGTGCGCATTTAGCTTGCTACATTAGTTGTGCATCTAAACTTAATCTCCATTTGCCTATCAACCAACCGGATGCATCATGTATCCATGTAGCAGTGAGGTGATGCAAGTGCTTTTGCTTTCACTAAACATGCTTCTTTTTGAATTTTAACAGAAATCAAAGAAAGCGGATTCTGCGGTTAGAAATTTGCCAATAACTAATGCTAAAACACTAAACATTGGCCTCATACACCTGAGAGTTGAGCATCAGTAACAGTCTTGCATAACCTCTTTCGGTGCCAATAACATTTATATAACGTAGCACTTGCATTTTTTGGCTACTTAACACACCCATTTTGCCCATTCCATTTATTAAGCTTTAAAAATCAACTAAAGTCAACATTTCTTCAGCAAAATGATCACGAGCATCATTCACAATCAATTGTATTTCCTAGCCACACTAGTTATAATAATTGTGTGTAGGTGAACTAGTAATATTAAAGCAGTAAGCATAAATTAATAGGCATTTTGTAGTAACTGATTTGATAGCAAATAACAGACAGGTAGTCACATTTGTTTGGGGATTTAATGCGCTATGAGGTCACTTTTAGCCGTAAAAGTTGTCGCTATCTATCCTTAACCAGGATTCAAATGGAGTTTGCATCAACGTCCTATCACAAACAACATTTAGCATCCCGAGTCAACCTTGACGAAGTAAAAAGGGGTACTAGCTTAGAAGGTTGGTTTGCGACCAGTTTGGAGGCGAAGTGAGAGGCTGAGAACATAGTCAGAAAGCCGTGTCACCCCTGCAGAAGTATAAACTGCTAAAGTTAATCGCATTTGTTAATATGATCTTCGCGTGAAATTCAGGTGTACACTTATGCGTTATTTCCGAAGCTCATTATTCCCAATTAGTCATTCGCGCCTCTCAAGGCTCCTGGTCGGAGTGCCATTTAGCACTGTAAACTTCTCAGCTTATGGAGGACATAAACCCTAAAGGAAGCCAGGTCCGTATAAAGCAGTTTACCAAACTAGGATCCCCAGAACTCGTTACAAAGCTAACAACAACGTTTTCATTAAGAATTCTCAATTTTTGTTGTTTATCTGGGGATTATTGTGCTACTCTGCAGCCACTTACGGCGCTTTATTCCGACTTGTTCTAGATTTAATAGTGCGTTGCTTTTTCATTGGCTCTAATTTTATAGAAAACCTCCAATTTTCTGGGTCGGTGTTTCTGCGAGCCCAATATCATCATCAAGGGTGCCGATTATCAACCGCCTCCACTTCAGTGGTGGCAGATTTACCGTGGACAAACAACTGCAGGAAAGCTGCTTGCCAGTTTCGACCTTATTGAGGTACCTAGATTCACTACCATTTCATTCTAAAAAATTCTTAGCTTAGTCTTGTGCTTAGAGATTCATGAGAATGTCACATGGTACGTACACACCCTTTTGAGACAGTGGTGCAGTGGGCCTATCAATGAATTGATTTTGTTTGTGCTATCTTAACGTATGGTTTCTCAACGTATATGAAGAAAATCAGTGAAGTAAGCTCTCTTTACTCTTCTTGAGTAAAACTAGCGGAATTGTAAACAATAGGATTAATTTTTTCGTCGAATTATCATGACTTTACTCCAGACAGCAGGCGAACTTAGTTCGAGCGATAGAAATGTAGACTGAAAACCTGCAGTAAAGTATGTTACGACACCTTCCCCCTTCAAAATTTCCACGAATTGTCTGACTCATTAATATTAATTCGTATTATTTAGATCGATGCTTTGGATGACATTGATGCGATCCCCACTGTTGAAGACCTTGCTGATTTCACCCGTCGATTCAACGAACGCGTGCTCTTGGGTCCCGCTTGTGGGATTCCCTTCTCTGACGACTCAGACGACTATGGGGAGTATGGGGAACAGTGGGACGATGAGATGCAGCAGGCAGCTCGTCTTTTAGACGAAGATGCAATGGCACAGCTGGATGCACCCATAGAGGAGGCAGATGACTCGTACAGTCTTCTGTCCACTTCCACTTCTGGAAGCCTCGCCACTACAGCCACCACGACAAGAAAGAAGAAGAAGACGAAGGCTAAGGTAGGCTTAGCTACGGCTGATTTGGTTCGATGGCGAGCAGATGATGCGCTGCGGCTACCGGAAAACGTGCGTCCTCCTCTCGGCAGATACAGACTTGAAGTGGTGAGTGTGTGATAATTAACTTCAAGAAGGATAAATTGAATTCGAGAACTTTGGCGCAAGAGTCAACTTATACTCAGATCGATTTTGGACAGCTTTATTACCTCATGTAATCGTCAGATAAGATTTGCAAGTTGATAAAACCCTCTTGCGCAGTTGCCTGACTGAAGTTATTTCCTTCAATGCTTTATTTGTAAATACTTCTGTAAAGGTCTTTTGGGGTGTGCGTGAGTTGCGAAGGCAATTTCTACTCCCTGTCAACCGACCAGTCATTACAATTGAGGTTGGCGGGACGAAGGTAGTGTCCGATCTTCTCCGCAGTGCTAAGATTAACCCACTTTTCGAAAAACGTCTCAAATACGTTGATTTGGTACGTCATTGTAAATGACTTCGTATGTCACTTTTATAGATATTGCAATAAATAGCACATACTTCATCTTAATCACTCGATCTATTCAGTCTCTTCTTAATTCCATTCAAAAACCACTTGTATTATATTTGAAATATTTTAGTACCTCCCATTGGATGAAAAGCTCTGGCCTCCAATTACAGTTATGTGCCATGACCACAGAATGTTTGGCGTTTTTATAACGGTGGGGCTATGCACTCTGCCAAACCCTACAGACTTCTTCGAGAAAAAAGATCTGAGTATGCATTTTTTATCAGCAATACAGTATTTCAAAACAAGTATTCATGAGTATTGGGAATATGTTAAAAAACTAGTACTTATGTGTCAATGATGTCCAAGGCGCTAAGCTCTACAATCAAGTCACCACATATGCTTCGATGAATTTAAACAACTAAAAGTAAATTATGAGAAACACACTGTCAGTCTGGCTCATTTCATTGCACTGTGTAGCATTTCACATTCGTTTCTTTCAAAAGGAGTTTTATTGGGCTGAATTGTGTAAGCTAATGTCTGGCTTTAAATTTGCAGTTATGTTAGAGAAATTTGGTGTTTCAATAATACCTAGTGCATATTATCACCAAATAATACTTCAATCTGGAGACACACTAGCTGTATAGAATAATCCAAAATACATGGGCTTCTGAGTGGTCTAATTGGATTAGATCTTACGTCTTTTGAATTTGAGAATTTGGTTGAGTAGTTTACTTTACCTCTTCTCTCCTTCAACCCAGTTGTCTACGATGAGTACGAGGAAAGCAGCACACCGGTAGAGTCGGAAGTGCAGCCGGAGGGGAAGGCGCCGATATTTTCGAAAGCGCTAGCGGGCTTGGGTGATCCTGACGCGGAGGAGACGCGATCGGCGGAGGAAGCGATGCTGCAGGCGGGCCGTTACGGCGCTCCACAACAACCCTCACAAGGGAGCTCTGCCAGTGGCAATGGTGACGACGAAGATGATGAAGATGAGGATGAGTACAGTCGAAAGGATAGCGTAACCAGGAGCAAGCCCTCTACCACCATGACCCTTACTACTGAGACTCATCCTGGTATGTACACTGAACGCGATCCCATTCTAAAGAACGTTCCAAAAAAGGCTACCAGCATACTTGGTGGCTATGACGGACCGTTGGGGAAAGTTGTACCCCAGGCTGGACTCAAGGTGAGTTTCCTGCTGGCTGAAGCCTTGATTTTGACTCATTTTGTATAAAAGTGGCTATGTAAGTGAATAAATACTGAATCGACTAGAAAGGTACAGAAGTAAACTTAACTTACAGTTACAAGTACAACATGGGGGGATGTTGCATTGACTGATGCTAAAAAGTTGGATTCCGTGCTCAAGAATTCTTTACATGCATTCATTCCATTTATCAGCCACATAAACTTCAAATTGTAACAAATTCTGCACTTCTTTTTCTATGGTAAAATGATGTTGGTTATCATATTGTCTGCTTCAGTTTCGAGGTTACATTTGCTGTTGATTTAAATTTAGACGTTCCCTGTTAACCCTATGACGAAACTGTCGAAGCAACAGCTCAACACTCTCGACTGGTGGTCGAGATTGTTCGCCTCTTTGAACGACATTGACATCGGCGACGACGTAAGTGCGATTACTAGCTGCAACTAGGCTCTCCTAACCATGCATTAACCGATATCAAAATATAATCAAGCCTGCATTCATTACTTTGATAATATTTTAATGGGTCATGACAAAGCAGTCTGCTACTTCAAAGGTTATTTTTTACTATACTTATGCAACACAACATCTTTGTATGATTTCAGAGCACTTTGCTAAGTTTGGCTTTCTAGATTAGTAAATGACGGACATGACCTTATCTCCATTTTATACGGACTTGACAAAGGTTCACAGTAGTCAATCCTCTTTAAAACCAAAGCGTAAAAAATTTCTGCATTCTAGCTGAACCTCAAAATGCGGCAAAGAGCTCAAAACTGAAGTGATCACTTTCGTTGTGGAAATTGATCTCGGTTACATTAGTGGTGTCAATTGGCGTTTTAAATAAGACTAAGGGAATGTTTGCAAGTTATTGAGCATACTAGTGGTCCACCCTTAGTCAAGTTTCCAGTTAACTTTATATCCACTCAAAGTGGCTCCAAAATAGCATCAGCGATTCGTGCTTGCTTGAGTGATTTGTGTAACGTTTCAGCGGTCATCTGATAATTGATTGTATCGTTAGGAGAATAAAGGCCATCTCTCTAGACGTAGTCAAACATCTTAAGAATTAGAAAATCTGATTATTGAAACTACTTTTAAAGGGTTCTTTTGTGTGCTTACTTTTGAACTAAAGTAAAAGTTTGAACGCCAGCAAAAGGGCATATTCACAGTCAACCAAATTGGCGTGCTTGCATTACCAATAGGCTTTCCTGGAGGTAGGTTGTGCCGTTTTGATGAATTGTTCCCCGTGTGCTGTGGTAATGGATTCACTGCTTCTTTATCATTACCACGTAATTAAATATCCCTAAACATAAAAATTTCATTGTACATTTTGGTCGAAAGATAATAAAGTAACCGATTTCCCCCCCGAAATTAATAAGGACGGAAATGATACAAATCTGATATAAAATTCTCTTAGATCCTAGTCATTGATGGTGTATAACCAAAGGTGAATGATTTTATTTTTGAATTTGCGATTAATTGAATTACGTCTGCAGGTTAACCATACATAGTGTTAGTAGGATTCTTTGATTCGACCATTAAGGTGTCACTTTGCGATCTGAACATCCAGATATGCTTTCTTAGAATAAACCTAACACAAGGTTCTGAAAATATCGGATTGTAATTTTGGACATGACAGCAACATGTCCAAAACATAGGCCACTACTGCTGACCCTACAATTGTGATCTCTGTCAGCAATGCATTCAGTGCTACGCGGATTTACAGATCAATGAACTTCAAGCAGATGATCCCTGCGGTTAGTGGAGGTCAATCTCATATTCTATGTGTGGAAGTGTATTAGACAATGAAATGACCATTTTACGCATAGTTATCCCTATCTCCATGACACAAGTGAAGGGCAAAATGAATATAAGCCCCTCTGTGTATACCTCCACTTTGTACAGGTTTGTAGTAAAGATTACCGTCCTATGCATCGCATTTCAAAAGGAAAGGAGTGGAGGGATTCCACCCCAATGGTATCTACCAAAGACGTTACTGTGAGTTTCCTCTCACCGTTCATACACGGATTCCCCATCATTCGACTGCATTCAATGTACTGCTATCACACGCATTCACACGTGCCCCCAATCACAGCCACGTTTGACACGTCTTCGCGGATGTTATTTTTATCATTCTTGAATGAGTGAATTTGCTGTGATTTCTGGATTTTGTGTTTTACACCGTGTGAACATGCAGCAGTTATTCGTTACTCTCACTATCAACAATCCCCTTACAGTCTGCAGCCGATGACGATATAGAGGAGGCGGACTCACGTTTTGATGACAACTTGGAGAAAGTGGAGCTCCTGCCAGAAGATATCGGCATGGGTAGGAGTGAATGGAGTTTTACATAATCCTAGCATTTGAACATAATTACGAATGGTGTTTATAATCCGTTTGTCTTATATTTACAGAGGAAGAAGTTGTAGCCGAAATTCCAGACGAAGTTGTGGTCCAGGGTGGTCGAAAGTCTCGTCGTAACCAAATCCGCAAATTTTTCCGGTTAAAGCCTAAGAAAGAGCTCACAGCTCTTGAGAAATTCGAGAAGCAGAAAGAAAAGGAGAGATTGAAGAAAGCGAAGAAAAGTAAGAGGGGTAAAGGCGAACCCAAACTTCTTCTGAAGATAGTAAGTCTTCGTTTGCCCTTTCTGGAAAAGTGCTGCACTTTATCATAAATAGATCCTATTTCCAGAGTCGTAACGGCTAAAATAATTATATATTTATAAATAGCGTGCCAAATTTGGCTTTTTGGCATACGCATAGTCTACTACAATATCGCTGTAATGTGAATTAATCTCTTGATTGAAAAGAAAAACGGAAATGAATGTCGATCTGACAGGAGACATAGTTCCAGATGTTCAAGCTAGTTCCATCAAAAGTATTTTAAGCTTCTTTTGGACTGTTTCAATTCTTCCTTTTACAGCGTGGAGATGCAAAGAAAGCATTCCTGAAAGAAGTGCAAGATGACCTTATCATTACCAGTGCTGGAATTGACACAAGCCTAATTGAACGCATCAAGGTGAGAAAGGCCACTCATCTAACCTCTCCGCTGATCCCTCCCCTTATACGCCTGAACTAACTGACATTCTGGCATTGACCACGTATATTATAGACTTTTCTATATGCAGTCTTCAGTTACTAATCCTCTTCAGAAATGGCATTGTTGTTTGAACTGTTATATTCCATTGATCTTTGATATATCTTTCGACATCTATTCGTGATGTCCCCTTACTATCAAACATATATTGCTTATGGTCTCACTCTCTTCGCTCTCTCTATTTCTTCCACTGTTGTATACCTCGTAATTATTAATACTTTATCAAATCCACCTCCTTACTCATGAACCTTTTCAATGTTTACGGAAGCTTACATATTTAAATTTGCAGCTAAATTAAAAATAAATAATGCAATATTACACCCGTTACTTCATTGTAGATATATTCATCGGAATTAGAGGAAGTTCCAGATTTCCAAGGCTTTTGTTCACCCATCCGGAATTTTAAACTTTTCCGTGGAAAACAGGATGACGATGATATGACTGCGGAAGAACGTGCTGTGGGCTATTTCAAGGTTTGTTCAGCACCCGTCTTACCCGCTGCTCCTGACCCTTCGTAATTCACTGTGGAGCGGTACTCGGCATCTCATTTTGAGCTGAAATTTTATGCTCCATCAGATATAATTTATTGCTGTTTCACAATGATTAATCGTTTGAACATTATTAGATTTAGATTCCTGGGGAATTATTTTAAATTAACACATTATTTTGGTTTTGTGCTCAACTTGCTGATAACTAGCTTACTATCATCATCACTGTGTTTTTCCTCCACCCACAGGGTAACCTCAAACTCTACCCTATTCCTGAAGATGCTGATCCTCCAGAATCTGTCGAAGAGTTACATTCCTTCTCGATACTCCCACAGCGAACCCGCTGGCGAGTTCTGGTTCGATGCTACATTATTCGGGTAGGTTCAAATTTTATTTAAACCAAGGCCCAATCTATAACACTTGAAATATTTCCTTGTTTTTACATTAGGCCTTCAATCTACACCCGGCAGATCCCACAGGTCTTGCGGATCCTTACCTCATTGTTAGTATGGGGAAAGAAGTATTTAATGAAAAATCCAACTACATTCCCAAGACCCTGCGTCCAACTTTCGGCAAAATGTTTCAATTTGAAGTAGAATTCCCGACGACCACCATCCTTCACATAGAGGTATGTCAATACCCGTCATTGAGAACTATTCAATTACAGTAACCAAAATAAAGCGTAATTTTTTAACACAAAGGCTGGTTCATTTGGCCCATATTTTGCTACATTTTATTTAACTTTACGAAAACCGTGAATATTTTAAACCGAACAATAGTGCTTTTGTGTAGATAAACTAGCCAGGTCCTTTCTTCATCACGCTCATCTAAAAATTCACGGTTTGTGTACATACAATTGCATCCTTTAGAAATAAGTTCTATATGGTTCCGTTTAGTTTAGCTTTTAGGAAAAATCGTGTTCTCGAATTTATCGAATCGCAGACTCCGTGTTACATAAAACGCAGACTGAAATCGTAGCCCTAGGGCAACCGAGAATTCAGGTCGGAATTGGGAAACACCAGCATCTCATTCTGTAATTATAGGTGATGGACCATGATATTCTTGGCTCTGACGATGTGATTGGTCAAACCGTAATCGACCTTGAGAGCCGGTTCTACAGTCCCCACAGAGCCACTTGTGGTCTTGCACAGACCTACTACAGGTAAGCTACAATCGCTCTGGATCTTGGCCCCAAAATCTGCAAACTGAGGTCCTTTTGAAAAATCACAAAATGCTCAAATTGTGTACTTCAATACTTCCAATTAATGAACGCCTTAATCAGGAGCAAACAGGATAAGATTCGACAATGCCATAGCCGCTGATGGCGCTTATAAAATGGTTGCATGTAGTTTAAGATGTGTTTATGAAAACTTGCAATTTTTGCGCCTATAGTCACAGCTACGCACAGTGGAGAGACAATAAACTCCCCACCGAAATCCTTTCCGATTTGTGCCAAAAGAGCGGTCTTCCTCCGCCCGTCTACACACAGATTGACAACACCGTTAAAGTTGGAGGAAAGGAATTCTATGCAGATACCACCATTGTAGATGAGACAGGTGAGTTTGTTGTAAAAATGTTTTATTACACCCATTGTCTTTGAAATGGATCCACGCTTTAAGAGTACACCGGAACAGAATGGAAATATGAACCGTTATTTCGCTTATCTAAACAGAGTCAACAAAGAAATCAAACGAACCCCTGGCCCTGGCCGCATTGAACCACTGGGACGAGGTGCCCGGGGGGACTGTGCTGGTGCCGGAGCACGTGGAGGTGCGGCGACTCTTGCATCCGGAGAAGGGTAGCCTGGAGCAGGGCCGTCTGATGATGTGGGTCGACATGTTTGATCGTGATGAAGGGAAACCACCACCACCAATTGATGTGACACCCCGAACTCCCGAGCCTTGGGAACTCAGGTGCATCATCTACAATACCGCTGAGGTCAGTGTCCTCTAACCTTTATGCACACGTCGCTGCATCATACAAGCCATTTAGCCGGGAGTAATGCATTCCTTTACATCTGTTTACATATGCAATGTTCGTTGTTCGTTTGAAAGTACCAGTAACGCGTTCGATTCTCGTGAATTGGCTTAAAGGCCTGACTGTTTAAATCGAGGAGTTAAATAATGGAAATTACGCTTTACAGTGGTGGTGTACTTAAACCACTACTCTGCCCTTCAGTAATTCGTTAACCTAATTTGACCTGACCCCCCACGATTCACACCACATTAAAATAGTGTGAATATAAGGGGGTTGAAATCACTTGGTGCCAAAAAAGTGGATTACACGGGGAAGTTCTGCTGCTGCCTATTCCTTATAATTGTATGCGGTGTTTCCTACAGGACGGATAGGACTTTGCAGTTTTGTCATTGTTTAATATATATGGCCTTTTTGATTCAGGTTGTCCTCAATGACACCTCGCTGTTCTCCAATGAGAAGAGCGCGGACATTTACGTGCGTGGATGGATGCTAGGTGTTGGAGAGGATGACCAGAAGACTGATGTACACTACAGGTAATTTGAGCTGGAAGCTGATTACATTTAGCATACTTTGATCAGTCGAGGGATAGGTCTCCCGTATGCACTGAGTTTATTCATTTCCAGACGATTAGCTGTAGCATAATACAATGCGCATTGTTCTCCTTAGGCAATTGGAACAAAGAGAATCGAGTCTTGTAATGTTCAAACTAGTCGAAAGATCTGTTTTGACATTGAACTGTGGTAGCAGTCAATTGAAAATCCCTTCTTCTTCTTTCAGATCTCTCTCGGGTGAAGGCAACTTTAACTGGCGTTTTGTTTTCCCCTTCAATTATATGCGATACGAAGACAGAATAGTCTTTGCACGGAAAAAAGCCTTTGATATCGATCCCGCCGAGGTTAAAATGCCCTGTGACCTCACTCTCCAAGTGTGGGATAATGAACTTGTTCGAAGTGACAAGTTCTTGGGTAAGCGTGATTCATCACCTCTGTTGGGTGCAGATGAACATGAATCCATCACAGCCTGTTTGATTGAGACGAACAATAGTTTTGTTTTCAACTTCATGAGGCCATTTCATTTGAACCATAGTGCCTAAACTTCTTATTTGCATGTCTATGTTTTTAATGTTGGGAAGACGAATAGCCTCCATGGATGCACGAAAATGCCGTGATTTACTTTACTTATAACTTGAGGTCCCCACTGCAAAGCACTAGCTTGAGCTTAAAAGTACTGCTCATTATTGCACATCTTCATCGCTTGAATGCAAGCATTTATGTTAATGCTTCGTCAGAAAGTGCTTTACAATATCCAGTCCTGTAGTGTCGCCCCCGTTTGGAGACAATTATTATGTTGGTCGAGGGTGCGAGTAGCGGTGCGCATCATTGTGTTCGGTATTTGACGTGATTACTAATTTGTCCATTGTGTCGAACTGAACAAATAGGATCGATTGCTCTAAAACTATCCCGAATGCCAAGACCAGCAAAGACGCCAGCGACCTGTGGCTTACACCAGTTGGAGGAGAGTTGCCCTACGCTGTCGTTGTTCGAAAATAAGCAAATTCGCGGTTGGTGGCCACTTGTCATTCACGACGAGGATGAGGGGGTAGACGTCGTCCAGGTATGCTTCTTCGCTTCCAAGTGCTGATGAATGTGAACAATGCATGTTGATTAAAAAGGGTTTATTGTTAAGTGGTTGCAAAATAGTTCGTATTCGTTTTTGCCTTGTTAATAATTCGTATAGACAGCATCTGTGGATTGAATATGGTGCCAATTATCTGACTATCATAATCACACAAGACTTCCAACTTAGGGTAAAGTTGAGGTGGAGCTGCATCTGGTCTCAGGGCAGGACGCTGAAGCCTCTCCTGTTGGCAAGGGTCATGAGGAGCCTGAGGCACTCCCACAGCCTGAGTACGTGAAGTTGACAATTCTTCAAATAAAAGTACCCATTTGAGTCTTTTCTGCGGGACAGAAGAAACTTCAAATGATTCGTTTAAATTATGACCGCGTAGTCTTTTATCTACAGTTAGCTGTAACCCATACGTCAGGTAGTTTTACTAGTGATTACTTTCTGTATTCGAGCATAAGTTCCTCCTGGCTCGATTCGCCAAACCAGAAAAGTACTTCCATTATGGGCGAGAGGTTTCCAATGAACGTCTTTCATTGCAATTTTCTAGCCGCCCAGACAGCTCTTTTATGAGTTTCTTCGGCCCGCTCAACACCATTCGTTACTTGATCAAATACAAACTGAAGTGGATCCTCATTAAGATCTTGATCGCCTTTCTCCTATTGCTGATCATCTTCCTTCTAATCTACACGTCGCCCGGGTGGATCTCAAAGAAAATTTGGAATGCATAGATACTTCGAGGACTCATGGTCAGTGTTATTCAAAGTTTATCCCTTTCCCAATGCAAAGACAATTTCTTATCCGCACTACCTGCCAACTTTCCCGACTGTATACTGTAACGTTATTCTGACTTCTCATCAGTATTTGAAGCATTAGACAATGTGACATCTTACACTGGTATAATAGGCTTGATTGTGTGCAAACGTGTTATTTTCGTAAATTTAACACTGAATAAAAGACGAGCATGTAGTCGATTTTCCTTCCCATCAGCTTCCAAATGTAAACTCACTCTTGGAACAATCAACACTATTGCTTCCAAAGCTTTATAGGGCTGGTAGCCACAGGAGTGAACGCTAATGCACTTTGAGTGGCAGCAAAACTTCAGTAGATTTCCTCAGAGTACTCTCAGAGACGATGAATTTCTGACTAGCATAGCAGTTTCTAACTCTACCCTTGCTTAGTAACTAGAACAACCTAGTAAGACGGGTGTCGAAAGACATTACTTTTCAAGTTGTGAGGTTGGCAGGATCGCACGCATCGCGTCGATACTTGGCATAATTTGCAAGGCTTTCTACCGGTAAGTGGAGATTTACACGCAAAAAAGTGAAAACGAGAGTCTAGGAGAACGTACACTAATGTCGGAATAGGCGCATACATAATACAGTCGCATTATCGTAAGTTTGCCATTTTGAATGAGAAAGTTAAACAGAGTACTAGATTTGTGAGAGAATAGAGAAAGAGAAAACTGACTAAGGAGAGTGGAAAAAGCGCCTAGATGCAGGAAGGGAGAACTGAGGGAGCAAGAAGGAGAGAGGTGAGAGCAATCCATTCAGTCGACAAGGATGACAAAAATATCCTGTGAGAGGGCGCGGTCGACTCCAGTGATGCCCTCGCAGTTGTAGATGCCGTCATCACCCTCCTGCACGTTGCGAATAGTCAGCCGACTGCGACTGCCAGTGCAGCCGAATCTACTGGAGACGGGCTCTACGCGAGTGCGAACACTCTGGGGTAGACAGCCCCAGTTGAAGCGCCAGATGATCGCCGGTGGAGGCACGCCCAACACCTCACATTCAATCACCAGATCCTGTCCGCGACGCACCTCGTAACGCGATACCCAGCCCTCCGAGTAGATGGTCGGACGCACTGCAGTTTTACAGTGGCGAAATTCACTAATACTGCTGGAAATGTTTACAACGCCGGAAAAGCGCCTTCTCTGCTATGTCGAAGTCTCTATCAACTAACCCCCTGGTGTCCCATTCTCGAACATTTCAGAAACATTGGATGCATTCGTTTTGGTCGAGTTGCTCCTAAAAGGCCAACACTACATGAAGATGCATTTTCCATGTTAGTACCTAATCTTATTGTCATCCGAAGTGGGAGTTGGGTCAATGAATGTTCCAGTACCCCAAGGACGCACACGTGCTCCGGATTGGGGCGTTTGGACTTGATTCCTGAGATTTAATCCTTATAAATTTTCGAGTTGGCAACGTAACGTGGTCGTGTTCAAACACTGGTAGTCTGTAATAAATTTGCTGTTCAAATGGATACGGAAACCAAGTCGGAAACCCCGCCAGAATCCATGGAATTAGCTTAATGAAGTGGAGATCTTCCCATCTTAAAATAGGTGCCTTTATTTAAAAGACTGAATAATCACTTACTGGGACAACATCGTGTACATTTGCTCATTTCCTCGGTTTAAATGTAGAAATTTTTGAGTAGATACCGTGAATACGATTTTAGAACTGATAAACGGTCTGTTGAAATAACAGTGCTAATTCGACATCCCCTGAGTTATTCGTCACTTAATCCAAATCCTAGGGGTTTCGGGGAGACTTAGGGCTCTTTTAAAGCAGCAAGTGTACTTAAAACGATGCTTATACATGAGCTGTGGTTAAAAGAAAATTACGACACGATGATCCAAATATATTGCCGGATCTGGAACATAATCTGATAGACTGAGGAAAATTATGTTCATCATGTTACAAGGATTAGTCATTTTAGTCACATTTTTTGATCCCAGAAAAGCCAACATAATCAAGAGAATTATTCTACTCAACAATGGTACCGCGATATTCACATGCTTGCCCCAAGCAATTAGGTGAATTCAGTTGATCAAATACCACTCAACGAATGCGAAAGAAATGGAGAGGTGTGGGCTTTTAATCCTTCGTAGATTGGAAAAGTGGATTATCAAGTGAAAATGTCCTTTTAAAACCAACTCGGCGCATTAAAACACGTGCACATCCACTAGATTTCAACATCACTCGACCCCTCAAATAGTTTGGTGGTTATAATTGGGCTCTCGTCTATCAACTGAAAGCATTCAATACAAGTACTAAAAGGAGTAGAACTCGACATCAAGCTCAGGCCGATCAATTAGAAAGTGGACGTATTTTACGAGAATGTGCTTTTTATACTTGTGAAAATAGAGAGAAAAACTTACTGCAGTTCATTTCATCTTCGCCATTGAGGCAATCAGGCTGACCGTCACACTGGTAGGCGAGGGGCACCTGGCTACCATCGCTTGAACAGTCGTAGCGCGGGCTGCCACATCTTTGACCTGGCACTCGGGTATCTGACATTACAAAATAACATATATCTGTGAGTTGTTAGTAAAATTAATCGACTTTATTAAGAGATACAACAGTGAAATGTGCTACCAGCAATACTAGTGGGTTAGAGACCAAATTTTTGGGGAAAAATGTGGTTTTTATTATTTTCATTTGAGTAAACGGAGAATGTCTTTTCAGACCCTACAGTTTTCACAGTTGAGTTCGTCAAAGCCGTTGCCACAATCATTTTCTCCATCGCAACGCCAATGCTCCTGAAAATAAGGAACCTTTGGCTCCTCCCCATTCACCACCCCACATGGGCGGGAGATCGGATCGCAGGCATCTGAAACAGTGGAAACATAGCTACTAATAAGCTTTGAGTGACACAATACTCCATAATGGAGGGCGAAAAATTAATCATAGAAATCAAGGCGTGAAATAATTACTAAAAAGAAATTCGTAACTTCATTTCCCCACTCCCCCACAGACTTACATTACCTACTTGGTAGGACTAACTTTTTTGTGAAAAACCCATCCCGCTTTTAACCCTTGGGCAGGGTTAAAGTATGCCGTGATGCACAATCTCAGCTCAAAATGAAGTGGACTTTACGTACCTTTGATTAATCATTATGACTGCATATGCTCCTCGGCGCAACAGTTAACACGGGGACTGAAGGTTGCTTAAGAGCTTATTGAAAAATGAAATGTTTAAGTTACCGGATACTCTTGTACGATATGTGGAGATAGCCGATTTGTTTCTAAAGCAGTTTTTGGCAATTGACAACTTGGTGATACTAAATAGACTAGCTCGTGAGAGAAATCAGCATCGAATGCCCTCATTAACCCATTCATTTAAAACTAAGCCGAAGCTTGATGAACAGCATCCAATGACAGCACAATCGAGTATGGCTTACACAAAATGACAGTCGTCTGTAACTTCAAAATCTTGAAGTGGCATATGGAAATTACCGCAATTGTGTGGTAGTTCATCAGATCCATCGGCACAATCCCTCCTGCCGTCACAGAACTGACCGAGGTAGATGCAATGCCCGTCGTCACAGCGTCTCTGTCCCGCAGCACACACCTGGTCGACGAAAACCTCTGCACGAGACTTGTCGCTCCATGGCAGGTAGCATCTAAAGGTAACGCGGAGATGAGAAAAAGTCTGAGTCAATACCACCGGAATGGTGATTTTAATCAACTTTGTTAAAAATTAAGATTGGAAAACAAGTGGAAATGCACTTACTGAAACTCCATGTGTCGTTGAGAGACTTCAGCTCCCCGAGGAATGGTGACGACGGAGCGCCCGGGCTGTGGATATTCCACGCGGAATTGGGGGTCCACAGTGACGGAGGTTCCATTGGCGAATTCGACAATGGGATGCTGGAGCACATCGCTCGAGAGGGCACTGCATTCGAGACGAATCTCTTGGCCCGGACGGACGCGCTGTTTGCTTGGGCTGAAACGCACGCCAGTCGGCCGTGGTGAGGGCGTCCGCGTTGGCTCTGCAAGAAACAAATGAATCAAGTCAACCACTCATTCTAAAATCAGAAGGAAGTCCGATTAGTCAACGATCTAGCAATCTGTTCTACCGACTTTACATTTCCGGACGCATTTGTATAGATAGCACTGAATGGAAGATCGAAAGCTCAGTATAGTCAAGCCTGACTTTAAAAACAATTGAGTTGATAGTTGCGTTTGTTCATTTTAGCGCATCGATTCACATGTGCTGTGCGAACTAACAAAAAATGTGCACTTCAAAATGCATCTTTAGTACCCAAACGCATTTTCTTCAGTTTCCGGTAGACTTCCTTTCACTTGTTTTAATGGGAATGAAACGATAATAGGCAGAGATAAGTAATGCGAAGCCACATAAGACCTACCGGCACAGAATTCGGGAAATTCATCCGAATCCTCAAGACAATCACGTTTACCGTCGCAGAAGAGATCAATCGGGATACACTTTCCATCTTCGCATGGAAGCTGATTTAATCCACACTTATCTCGCACTGTGATGGTTACGCGTCTGCTTTCACCGCTTGTTATCACACAGCTAAGGAAAGGAAGATTCGAGAAATAACAACATGAGAGACAGAAGCAATGAGGGTGGTTAGGCAAAGGAAATGGCTAACTCAATTTGTGTGCTGTCCTGGGGACCACGTAAGCCTCGAGGGGCAACAGTCTCCATAGTCGTACTGTTCACCTGATGCACACGATAGCGTGGATCCTCCTTCACTAGATGACGAGTAGACGAGAATACAGCCGTGAGGGGATGCCCATCGGGTGAAATGCAAGAAAATCGAATCAACCGCCAAGGGTCAGTGATGATAGATTCAGGGGTTGCAATTACACTCGGTCGTCGAGCTGGGAAACAGACGACATGGAAAATTGTTTGATAAGGCATGAACGCGTGTCGTTGGTAATGTTGGAACCTTTCGTACCCGGACAGAAGTCACGCCTCTCATCAGACTTATCATAGCAGTCGTATCGACCATCACAAAACCATGAGGCTGGAAAACAAGTTCCATCCTGACATGTCATCTGTCCTGCTCTGCAAGGGCTCACGATCACGACCTCAAAATCGACTGATTCACCTACCGCGTTGGTGCACCTGGATGGAAGGAAAATTATATAGTAAAGCCATTGTTTTGATAAAACAGTATTGATAGGTCTGAAAAATCACTGCTTACTTGATTTCATCCACATCCTCCTGCCCACGAAGACCAAGTGGAGCGGCGAGCTCGACTGATGTTGCGTTGATATGACGGATCAAGTAGCGCTGATCCCTTTCCACCGGTGATTGATTCTTGGAGAAGACAAAAGTGGGTTGCGAGCCACTTGGCGATACGCAGACTGTTCGGAACTGTCGCCAAGGCTGTGCCACAACGCGTGAAGGTGTGAGCACCAAGTTAGGCACTTTGACTACGACAAAATAAGCACTAATGAATAACTAAGCTAACCTAAATTGATTTTAATTCACAAAATTTGCATTAAGCATACAATGACCTCAAAGCAAAGTCTAAGAGACACCAACACCCGATTTTAATATCAGATTAAGATATTGATTCGAAATGTAAGCTCAGTAGTAGCAAACGAAAGGTGACGAAAAACGCCTTACCAACATCAACTTACTTTGAAATTAGTAAATTTACATGCATGCCACTGATCTTTTTGATGTGTAACGCCCGCTGAGGTCAGGGTGCCGACGGCGCAAGCGACCAAGGCATTCGCAGGCCAAAACACGTTCTAAATCAGCCGATTGCGAGCGGCTTAGCTCTGGTTGAATTGCTTACACGCGCGACTAGACCCGAGTGCGCACGTATAACCGACTGTTGCCTTCTCATTGGTTGCTCCCCAAGGGTACTGACCAATAGCCACAACGTATCAAGCTGTGAATTGCACGTCTATTCATCGATCGCTTAACCTGCGCGCGTCGCTTGTCTCACCAGTCGGCGTGCGATGGATGCCAGTCAGTTATTCAGCGATTTGGTCGCCTGTAGAAGGTATCCTACCTTTGATGCATTCCAGCAATCTCTTCGCGGCTTTCAAGGGGTTTGTGTTTAACACAAATTTTTTATTTATTACATGAAGAAGTCTGGATATGTTTTCATAAAGGGGAATAGTAATCGTTTTAAGGAGGGCCATCCTCTAAGGTCCACTTTGGTCTACCGTAGTGTTGTGTACTTCTGTTCATCGTATAGTGGAAGAGGAAACCGCAAGTACTTTTTTGCAATGTGTGATTAGGTTTTCGAAATAGAAGACATGGAACTGACTGCAATGCCCATATAAAAGTCAGTGGCGCTGGAGGTATTCTGACGGTCGTTGACTGGAACATGGTTCACAATCATTCGATTCAAGGGGTAAATTTGAATTCAAAAGCTGTTGATGGAGAAACTGTGGACAGAAACCTTACCACCACACTACTTACTAACTGCGACGGCCAGAACGACCAAACGGAGCTCTTCATGACAGTCTTCCCCCAAATGTGGTTCTCTGTTTTCACAGAGTTTGAAGAGAAACTGAGGGAGTTTGAACACATTTCAGGAACGCATTACAATAAGTGGAAGGGTGATAAATTCCGGACTAACAGGAAAGAACGCGATACTCTTGTTTATCGGCGTTTGACCTATGCTTGCTATCATTACGGAGAGAGTCGACAACAGGAGAATAGCAGAAACAGGTTAGTTTCCGAGCTTTGTCGTGTCTAAACCTTCTTATTATAAAGAACTCCCAAAATAGGCTGTAACTCCACTATTGTTTTGCGTGCGGAAAACAATATACTGCGGATTGTTCGCTTCGACATGCAGCACTGTCACGCAGTTGGACCGGAGTATGTGGAAACCTCGCCGAAATTGTCAAGGAAGCGTCCCAAAAACCCAAATATTGAAGAGCTGCCACCCCTTCCTTTGGTTCCACCCTTGGAGGAGCCCCACTTTTCGCGCACCGCTTCGACTATGACGCGTGGCGAGAAATTGGAAATTATTTCACAACACCTTAATAGGCTAGCTAATTTTGCTTGCAGTCATGATGATGCGCACTTCTATCGGGTGCTGGAAGTTGTTCGATCGATTTACGAGGGTTGGAACGAACAACCCTTCCGACATCGCCTCACCTCAAGCAGTCACATTCGCATGCGAGATAGCGTTGACACATTGGGAGGTCATGTGGATGTGGTTCCACCATGAATTCCGTTTCCTTATGTACATAAATGTGAGGCCCTTTGCTGCGGCACCACTTTGTGATATTGTCGTGGAATCTGTACGAAACTTTACCCTCGGCATCAGAAGATACCTACTTGGCGTTCTAGCGGTTTTGTTATTTTTACATCTCTGGTTGAACAAAGCGATAGCAATTCCGATTTAACATATTACTTTCTGATTTCTGCATTTGGGAGGGCTTAGGTGCGGTCCGAAATTGGGTGGCCTACGGATCCGTCCCCACAGCGCTAATTGAACACTCCTGCCTGTTCCACTTTCAGCAAGGCCGTCTGCACATTGATGTTCTTAAAAATTTTTCAGGTGAGCTTGAGGGCCCCATGATGGAAAACGTAGGTGAATTCGCTCTGGTACGTCGACAACCGATTTGGTTGGTCGGATATTACTCTGAAATACTATAGGCGGGAGAGGCTTGCTGAAGGTGGCTAGCGCTGGTGGTGCTTAAATGCGTTCAATGTTTATAGATACCCTAGTCCTGAGCTCTGCATGATGATCCGTAGCGCTGGACTTGAATGAAATCTGAAGTCTTAGAGCCGTTTGTCGAATAGTTTACAATGCTAATGTGGAAGCGGTGGGTCGTGGGTATGATCCAGCGCGCCCTCATACACCAGGAGGCTGGTAACAATCATAATAAGTGACGGGAAAGGAAATAATCAGGAACAAAGTGGGAAAAACGGTCGTAAAAAGAACTCAGCTTCGAGTTACTTTGTGCATTCCACCAGCTGGTTTTCAGGCAAATTTTCTTACGGTGCTTCCACTGGGGGACATCGTCCAGCTTTAAGCAATGTTCACTGTATGAATTCCTGCAATGCATTTTGCAAAGAGGACATGACCAGTGGACTCATCGAGCTCCATATGGTATGCAACTGCCATTAAATTGGGAAGTGTTCTCTCTGTAATAGAATACCATCGTACGAACGTCGTTTGTGGTTCAGAGTTAGTTTAGACACAGTGAAGTTTGTTGTGCCTTCCACAAAGAAGCTTGACCACAGAAGGCAATGGAGATGAAGCTGATAGACGATCGAACCCGAATGATGTTTGGTCCAATTTTCGATGCTACTGAGCCAACCTTTTTAGTCTCATGGGTTTCAGTCTCTATAATAGAGATGCTCCGTTCAATACACCTAAGTTGCTGGCTCCTCAGCCCTTCCGCATTCATGGGATGAACTTACTTCCACCTCTCATGCTTTTAACTTTTTAAAGGTAACTTTCTCCGTACAGCTATTATGACTTTGGCACACGAAGTTTCATTTAAGAATTTTGATCAGTTACAGTGTTCATCAAAATGAGTTAGCTTCTATCGTTGTGTTCTTGCACTAGATCGTTGAATTGCACTTGTAAATTATTTTTTAATATCTTGCAAATAATTCACGCAGCTCATCGGTAGGACACTTTGGGTTGTGGACACCTTAGGGAAAGGCGCCCAGCTTGATGCGGATATTTGATAAACCTACCATCACAAAACTCCTTCAACTCATCCGATTCATCGGTACAGTCGGATTTTCCATCGCAGAATTCGGCGATTGGACGACATCGACCATTGCGGCACTGCATCGAGCCAGGTTTGCACATATCGTCGATTAAAATTGTCACATTTCCACGCAGTCCACCATCAGTAACGCACCTATAAGGTAACACATATTACTCTTCGGTGGTTTGTATGGAACCATCGGCCTGGCGACAAAAAAACAAAACTTACTCGAGTAAAATCGTTTCCTGATCTCCACGCAAACCGCGTGTAGCCGTGACCTCAACCGAACTGCTATTAACTCGTCGAACGGTGAAACGGGGATCGCGCTGCACAGATCTCTTGTCGTCGGCGAAAATAATGTCAGGCTTTTGCCCCACGGGGAAGACGCACACGAACGAGAAAGGTACCCATGGCGGATGGCGGATATAGCTGGGAGTAACCGCCAGAATGCCTCCTGATCATAGAGTAACGAAAAATTCCAAAGGCTATTGGGTTCAATGTTAACGCGTGTGGCTTTTGGTGAAATTATGTGCACCTTACGTTGACAGTGGGGCATTCCTTCGTCAGAACCGTCAGGACAGTCAGGTCGCTGGTCACAGAATCTGCTAGTTGGCAGACATCGCCCATCTCGACACTGCAACTGGCCGAAGCCACAACGATCTTCCACTGTGATTACCACAGTTGCACTGTCACCAGCCTTTGAGATACACCTGAAATGCAAACAAAAACCTCACAAATCCTCACGATATCCAAAGGTGGATCATATCTAGTAGCCGAAATTCTCACAATCGTGATCGTCAATAAAGGCTTCGTGATCAATAAGCAGGTAAAACCTGAAATAAAAAACATGAACCTAATTAGGTACGAACTGTTCCAGAAAACTAAAGGGAGTCTGCTGTGGGAAAGGCGAGACAGATAATGTTTGTTAACAGTGGCCTCGCGATAACGAAAGTGTGGGAGTCGACTTTTTTGTCAACTGCTGCTTGGGTAACGTCAACGCGAGGAATGATGTGTGGTCAAGACACTGCTCAAGAGTCAACCAGTGAAGTCGAAAAAAACAATGGTCAGGAAGCATCAAATGTGATTTTATAATGCAATAGGGGGCCTGGCCGTCACCACTTAAACCGTAATTATTTTACCATGCAAACTGGATAAGAAGACACTATGAATAAGGTAGCCCAAGCTGTCAATATCATGGGGCAAAAGACCACTTTATTGTATGCTTAATGATGCTGCTGAGGGTCGATTTGCATGCAAAACTCCACAAAGCAGATGCGGTGCGTTTATGCCACAAATTGTTTCAAAGGTTACAACAGAAATTCAAGGGCGTCACATTCCTCATTAACGCAACAAATCAAGACCATGGAATGAGATGAACCAAACACAACCGAATACTGAGCGGCCAGATGTATTACGTCCATCATACTTTTCATTCAGTACCGATAAATCGCGTTTCACTCACTATAAAAACTACTGGATAGTGCGCAAATAAAAAAGCAGTCCATTAGGATAACGCAAATAAAATGTGTTCATTAAAAAAAAATTTGAGTAATTAGGGTGCCAATGCAAACTATCCACCATGATTAAATGATTTGTTGCGGCCTGTGATAGTCCTAATTAGAGCTAATAACGTTGCCTCCAAACACTTTGCCATGCATGTGTTATGTTTCCTCAAATCGTTTCCGATTTCAGCAAAGGACTTACTTGATATTCAAACTGTCCTCAGGACCACGCAGTCCATGCGTTGCAGTGACTTCGATAGTGCTGAAGTTGACCTGCACCACACGAAATCGGGGATCCGAGTTGATGTTTTTCCCGCTTTCGACGATAACAGCAGTCGGTGGACTGCGTCCCACGATGTCGGTACAGTAGAAGATGAATTTGCGCCAAGGCGGAGTGGTGATCTTCTCTGGTGTCACTTTCAGTGCAGACAGTGAACCTTGAGTTCGAAAGGATCATGAATGTTTAAAGTCGAACATTCTTAGCAGTATCTTTTGTCCAAAAGAAATATCTAAATGGGACATTACGCATTTTACGAGGGCGGAAAGTTTAACCCAGAAATAGTCTACTGTATATGCTGAGCATATTAACTTCTTTTACGGCTACCGGTGAATTTTTATAAGAACATTTATTTTAACTAAAAACTCTATGATGTCTGAAATCATAACCTGGACAGGCGATGCGGGATTCATCGGAGCCATCTGGGCAGTCATTACGGCCGTTGCAGAAGTTCCCTGAGGGCATACAAGTCCCGTCCTTGCACGGAAGTTGACCGGGTAGGCATTGACTAGTAATGATGATCGGAATTTCCTTCTGTTGGCCTGTGCTTATGGTACAGCTGTCAAGGAGTAAGAGAAAAAATTGTTTCCGTAATCCATAAAAATAATCGGGGAAAGACGCGCGCTAATTTTCATTCCTTAATAAAGAAAGAGGGGAAAAATAAAAAATCAAAGCTGATTGAAGCATACACTAGCAGTTCATCGGGTCCTAGAGACGCGAGGCCTTGCGGAGCGGAAATTTCAATCGAGTTGTCTTCGTGTCTTCTAACAGAGAACCGTGGATCCAGTTCAATAGGCTTTCGGTCTCTCAAAAGGATGACCGAAGGACGCTCAGCAGTACTTGCAATGCATGCGACCTTAAAGGGTCTCCAAGGGGGAGAAGTGATTTGAGAAGGAATAATTTGCAATTTCGGGATTAAATCTAAATTAAAAATGAACGCCGTAACCATTCTCACAAAATATACAAAAAGGGATAAGCAAAAAAACCTTTGCAGAAAAGTGGATTTTCGTCCGATCTGTCGCGGCATTGGGCTGTTCCATCGCACAACTGGGTCTCCGGAATACATGCACCGTCTTTGCACTTAGTGTAGTTGCGTTCGCATTCATCGAAAATAGTGATGGAGACGTCACTTCTCTGACCCGTTGGCGTGACGCATCTATAAAGATCCAAGCAGCAATCCAGCAAGCTTAGTACCAACTAGGAAATATCACAGAATACAGTCACGCGTCTAGCCACACGACGCAGGTTAACGCATCACTCGTTGGCATGTTCTTTTGTTTCTTCCGACGACCCAAAGAGATTTCCTGCAGCCAACGCATGGCTGATGAAGGCCGGTTTAATGTGGTGCATTGTAAGATCCTACCGCGCGTTCAGGTGTGGTGTGGTGGGGACTAGATTGAAATGGGGCAAAGTGAAGTGATGGTGCCAAATCCCCCTGTCAGACCATCCCTGGTTCTGCTGTTGGTGATAGTAATGGTGTAGGTGTCAGTGTTAGTGTTGCTCATGAATCGATGACAAGGCCAACATTGGTGATAATGAAAGAGTTGGCCTTCACAATGGCAGAAAGTAAGGAGACGAGAATGGAGAGGAAGATGGATGCAGATTACAAATAGCATATTTTGACAAAATTTATGCTGCCTGACTCTCTTTTCCCCCTCTAAGTTTTTCTACTGTTGTTTAAATCACCGTTGCTCCCATTACTGAGGTGCACCCTTACAGCCTTCAGTACTTCCATTTTTGAGTTTCTGAACGGCACCAACTCTTCTATTGTTGCAGTCGTTACTGCTTCCATGCTACTTTTCACCTGACTAATCACGACAAACATAACAAAGGGGATGGGGACAAATGGTAGAAGTAGAGGTAAAACCTTACTCGATTTCCACGTCTTCTTTATCGCGCAGTCCTTCTGGAGCGGTGATACGTAGGGCGGAGATATTGTAGCGAGTGATTCGGAATCTCGGATCCAAGTAGACTGACGAGCCGTCAGCCTTAAACACAGCGTTCATTTGACTTCCATCAGTGCTAACACATGTGAACTGGAAAGGCTTCCAGGCTGGAGCCTCCACAACTGGTGGTGTTACTATAACCGGAGGTCTCAGAAGCGCTGGAGGCAGTGGAAAAGAATTATTCAATGCCTATATCCACCCATTCTGTGCCTTATCTCCCTCCTAGTCTTATTCCTGCTCCTACTACTCTTTTCTTTTCTTCTCTTCTGGAACCGGACTACTGTACCGCTAAGCTACTTTGAAGGAATTGGAAAAGAAAAAACACTGCTGTATCATCGCAACAATTTCGTCTATTTAATTTGTTATTTCTTTGCCACATTCTTTTTCTTTTATTCGCGTTTTTTGCCTTATTTTCCGTTGTTTATTGTTAACCTGCCTACTTTTACAAAATGCCTTGTCCTCATCGGAATGATCGGGGCACTGTGCGATGCCATCGCATAATTTCGTTTGCGGTATGCAATTTCCATCGTCACATTGTGTGTACCCTTCCCCGCAGCTACTTGCTATGGTTATTGTCACATTCTTCTTTTGTCCAGTGGGTAGAACGCACCTACAACAAAAAGTAGGCATTGCAATTACCTCACAATGAATTACGCCGTAATGAATGTGATGGTCTTTTATCCCAATTATTTTCTTTTGCTTTATGCTTTTTTGTTCCTCTTGCTTCTCAATGAAAATAAATGAAAGAAAGGTGATGCGTTACCGATTCTTGGTGTGCTTTCTTATGGTTTAGTGCATTGTGGCCTATGTATTGTCATGGACAAACTACAAGTAACTTAGTTTAAGAAATGTCACTTAAAGGGAACAACATTACAAAAGTGCTTTACCTTCGCTTATTTTTAGCTGGAATGTAAAATCACAACGAAAACGGTCATATCCGCCACGAGTTTGAAGTGAAGTAAAATAAGATGAGTTTCAAAATCTCCACACACCACGAGCACACTTTGCTGTAAAGCACAAATTTTCAACCTGCTTACTGAATTGTCAAGTCGTCGATATCTCGTAGACCCCTAGGAGCTTTGACAATAATAGTACTAGTGTTGTATGTTGTGACGGTAAATCGTGGATCCAATTCAACCCGAGAGCCATCACCAACAAAGATGGCCGCAATCGGACTCCCTGTCGAACTACGACAGACAAATTCGAAAGCCACCCATGCCGGTTTGTAGATATGGGGTGGATCGACGAAAATCGGGTGTCGAATTGGTTCTGAAATAGAATTAAAATGTGCATTGTGGGAGATAGCAAGTGTAAAATCTCCAAACTTATATTTAGTTTTCTTTTCGGATATACAAATAAACAACGTGGCGATTACTGACCTCTGCAGAACTTTGGATTTTCATCTGACCGATCACGGCAGTGTGCAGTTCCGTCACATAGCTGGGAGTGGAGTATACAGGGCCCATCTTTGCACTTTGTGTAGTCCCGACCACAGGCATCGTGAATCGTTACTAGGACATCTTTCTTCGTACCGCTAGTCGAGACACACCTACGCACAATACGCAAAAGGAGAACCATTTATACGCTACTGCGTCAAATGAGGCGAAAAATTTGCAAACTGAGGTGAATAATCTACTCGATACGCATGTCGTCGATGTCACGAAGACCTTCAGGGGCGGAAATGATGATCGCCGTGGAGTTGTGCTTACTGACACGGAATCGGGGGTCCTCGCCCACTCGACCATCGTCAGGCGAGAAATAGGCCTCCACTCGACTGCCGTCGGTGCTGCTGCACACAAACTCAAACATCTGCCAAGCTGGCATGTCAACCATACGAGGGTCGATTATCAGTGGAGGTTTTGGGTGTCCTAGATTAGAGGAAGGAAAAACCTGTTCCGATTTTGCCGTCGAAGCGGTCTTATTAAAGCGGTATTTTGGCCCTTTACTCATTTTTAAGGTGCAATCAAAACTTAAGTTCTATCTTAACTGCGCAAATCCTCCCTTCGAAGTAAATTCAATGGGTCTAACATGCCCAAGTACCGCACCGAGGCAAAAGTCGGGGACTTCGTCTGTGTGGTCTTTGCAGTGCGTAACAAAGTCGCAGATTTGAGGAGTAGGAATGCATTCCCCGTCTTTACATTGCGACTGCCCTTCAGGGCAGAGGCTGTCGATTATTATGCTAAGAGACATCCGATCACCACTCGTTGAAACACATCTGCAAAACATTGGAACCAATTACCACAATCTGTTGAGAATTCACCATACAGGTTTACAAGGGTCAAATTGGCCAATTATTGGTGCTTTAGTTACGGTTAAGTAGGCTAAGAATGTCAAACTTTAAGAGGGGATTCTTAACTCAATCTCCATGTCATCAATATTTCTCAATCCAAATGGAGCAGAAACTTCGATGGCAGTCGTGTTTATATGGGCGACGTGGAATCTGTGATCGTATTCAACAAGATTGCCATTTGCTTTGAAGTGAGCTGTGAGGCGACCGGTAACGCTGTTGCACACGAAGCGGAGCGGAATCCATTCAGAAACCCTAATGGAGGCCGGAGAGATGGTGATGGGTGGTCTAACTTCTGAAAGTATCAAGGAAAGTACGGAATTTGCAATTGAGAAAACAGCACAACAGTAAGGGTCTCCATATCGTCAAGTGAGTTAAGTCAAGAAAGTGCAACGGGACTTGAGAGAAGTGGGGTTTATTTTATAAACTGAATATTCTGATTCCTGTTACTACTTTTGTGTCCTTACGTTCTTGCATTTTTTTTCCGAATCATTTACTGAAATCACTTATTTAATGTAGGGTCTACACATCCACCAATAAACCCAGAGGTTCAAGATCCAGTAGGCTAAAAATCTTATGTCAAAAGCATTAAAATTCCAAAGTAGCTTAGTGCAGTAGTCTTTCATTTCGCGGGAATACAGGATGCTCCCATGCAGACCGTTATCACCTGCATGACGTATGCTTCCGTACGGTTAAACTTTCTCTTAAAGATGATCCCAAGTTTTATTAATCGGCACAATTACATTTTTTTCCGGATAATTAAATACCGAAACGCACCATTGCAAAGGGTTGGCATTTCATCGGATTCGTCTTCACAATGGTGTGTCCCATCACACACATAGAATTGTGAAATACAGGAGCCATCTTTACAGCGAAAGTCACCGGATTTGCACCCATCCAGCACCGTGATAGTTATGGTATTACTTTGGCCAGCGGAATTAGAACACCTAAATGAAGATAAATTCCACCGAAATATACTGAGTTGAGAATACACAATTCCAGCTAGATTTGAAATTAACTACAAGTAAATTATAGGCTACATGAGTAGTCTGGAATATAGCAAAATAGGGTTTCTGGGCAAGATTGAAGGTACTCATTTTTGGTGGTAAGATAGCTTACTCGATCTGCATGTCATCATTGCTGCGGAGGCCCAATGGAGCTTCAATTTCAATGGCTGTTTTGTTGTATGTGTTGACGCGGAAACGCGAATCAGCTCTGACAGGAGAACCGTCAGCTTTTATGGTGGGAGTCAAGATCGAATTCAATGAACTCGTGCACACGAAGCTGAATGGAGTCCATTCTTCCACAAATACTGTTTCCGGATGGATTGCCACGCCTGGTGGATGCGTCTTAACTAAGAACGAAAATGTGACTTTTGACTAATTTTATGTTCGTTGCTTAAATAATTAAACTAAACAATAAGCGTTGCTACTTGAGTGGATGCTCGATGTTGATAAATGTCGGACTGACCTACGTAAAAATTTACACTGATGCCAAACGTGAGGGCAGCCTAAAAGACCTATTTTTGACAGATTTTCTTGATAGTTCTACAAGAAAATTCACTACGAGCTGCCATCAAGTTTTGGCAAGAAGACTCGAGGTACCGTTATAAAATGAAGGAATCTTTGATGGCATTAGAGCGAAGCAGAGAGGAAAATTTCTATCCGAGTAGACTGAATAGTGAGTTATTATTTTGTTGCATTTATTTTCATTCGCATGGTTTCTTTTTAGTCATTTCCATGAGATATCTATCAAAGTGTGAGTAGCTTCTGAAAAAAAGGCTTAATTTATGACTAACTTTGGAACCATTTGGGGAGCGCAACATTTCTTATGCATCCTTGAAGTAATGAAAAGTTCAAGGTGTTTAGGACCTCAAACAAATCAGAGAAGCAAGATTTCTCTGTCTGAGAGCCGCCAAGGGTCTAAACTCACCTTCTCCGCAAAATTCAGGCAGCTCGTCAGATCCGTCAGGGCAATGAATATGACCATCACAGAGTTTCAAGATTGGCAGGCACGTCCCGTCTCGGCAACTTGTTTCACCAGATGGGCAGCTATCCTTGATAGTTATTGTTAGTGCTTTTTTTTGCCCACGGTTGGTCACACATCTAAGATACGGGATTCATATTTAATGTTGCCAAGATGCTAATTTGATCTGGCTTAATATTCCACAGACAACTGAAGAGAAGTAGAAAAGCAATCGCGTCTTATCAGTAGTCAACATGGTACCGTTTCGGAATAAAGTGCTTTTAAATTGGTGTCTCAGTACTTGCCTCCCATTAGTTTTAAACAATTGCATATAAGAACAGATTTTGTTTGTAATACTGGCAGCATAAACTGAGTGGTTTTGGGTACATATCTGCGTATATATTCTGTTGCTAACCAGCAAGTGCTCCTGAAACGATTTAAACGATGTTAGACTCCAAGTGTGTAAAATATCATTGAAGGTGTAAACAGCAAGAAGACTTACTCAATCTCCGTGTCATCGACTGAGCGCAGGCCCTTGGGGACGGTGACTTGAGTGTTGGGAGTGTTAAGCCCGATCACTTCAAATCGCGGATCCTTCTCCACTGATAAGCCATTAGTACTGAAAATTGCCGTCACCTGGCTATTGGATGGTCCACGACATACAAAACTGAATGGAGTCCATTCAGTAACTTCGATGACGTCAGGAGTTACAACTACACCCTGTTCTGGTGCTGTAATGCAAAAGGTAGACATATCAGGTAAGAGTATATTTTTGAGTATTTATATGAATACAAAAATGTGAACTCGGGATGAACTACTATACATACTTTAAAACTAATTTCTATTTATATTAATTATTTGGCCCAGATTAACTAGTTCTAATTTGGATAGGACTGCAAGCGAACTTAGCTCTTTGAGGAAGAAATTATCAGCAGAAGGCACATTTTAACATATTTATGATACATCTTTAGAGATCGTTAACTTTATTCAAAACTTTATCCTATATGTTTGGAACAAAAATGAGTGGTACAGTTAAATGGACAACTGGATCGCTCCGGAAGACAGAAGAACCTCTACGCGTGTAGAATTGGACTGTTCTTTATTAAATGTGCTGGCATTTTGTACTCACACCCATCTATTTCAATATGAGAAATACCACTGGCTCTTTCTGAAGCATTATGTCAACGAATGTGGTTTGAACGACATCGAAAGCATTTTGATTTAATCGCTTTTACACTATAATAGGCCACATTTATCCCATCTTCGAAACACTTTTCAACATGGTTTCCCCGACTTTACGACCTGTAAAGAATATTATTTCAGCACTGATCAGTTCAAACTAGGAACAGCAAACCGGGTGTTTCAGTCGAAACCTTAAAAGCTTTGCAAGGCATCGAATGAGTCTAAAGGGAGCCCTGTGAGAAAGACGTTTAAAACATTACTTAAAGGCACCACAGGTACCACAGCAATCAAAATTTAAAGGGAGTGGCTTTATTTCCCATCCATCCGTTTAATTCTATAACGATGCAAATTGCAAGGGACATTAATTTATGTCGGCAGATTCAGTAGTAAGGTAAAAATCCTAATCTTTGAAACCCTACAAATCAAATTAATGGCAAAGGGATAATTTCAATTATACCTAGACGGTGATGTTAAGGTAAATTTCATCGCAAGTTGCAAACGCCCCCGTAAAAAAGTGTAATGTGTCATCAAAGGCTGAGAAATCGGGATCAACGAAGTGGATGCATTTAAACCTTAAAAGCTATTTACGATTCCTAGTAGGCGGTAGTGAACAGTGCCAGATAAAATCTAAGCTATTATGGACACACAAGGTTGGGACAACTAAACGCTCACCCTGGCAGAAGTCCACTTGTTCGTCGCTGGCATCAGAGCAGTCGACGCGGCCATCACAGAATTGGTTTTGCCCAATGCATCCACCTTCGCGACATGACATTTGACCGGAGGGACAGGGATCGAGGATGGTGATTGAGATAGCACGCTTCTCACCCAGCCGTGTCACGCATCTACAGGGCGTGAGTTAAGCCAATAAGTTGAATGCAAAGGTCTTGGTGAGCCAAAACCTTCCCACTCGTGCAACTTATTAAGTGGTTTAAACTCATATAAGGTTTATTCGAACATTAACTTGGTCATTTTGCAAGTAGTTTACATCAGTATTAACATGTTGTTGCTATCATTTGGCATAACTTTTTCCCATTTTAAATGTATTTCTCCCAAACAATGTGGAAGAAAATAATTACATATTTGACTTCTTCTTTTTAATTTACAGCAGACCTTACAAAATCACCTAAAAAGATGTTTTCCTGCAAATAGAATTTTAAAACGATGTTTTAATGTTCTACCAAGTAATGCTTAGGTTCACTTGAGCAAGGGAAAGCCATCAAACTTTCTCGACAATGATATGGTAGCTTATAAATCAAATAACCTGATCACGTACTTTCCTTAAACGTAATGAACCAGCGAAAGCTTAGTAATGATGGTAGCTAAGAATGTTTGCCATAAATTCACCTTGTATTGCAGAGAGCTACATGACAAGTGAGAGCACAGTGCACTCGAATGAGACAGGAGCGAAATGAAGTAGGAGGCCGTCACGATGGCGACGCAAAGCGTGCAGCATGCAGTAAGGAGAATTGCCACAGACCAGTCAGATAGTAGCACTAGAAACCTTATGAAATGCACTGCCTGGCACTACGATGTGCCACTCCTATTTTGCTCCATATTAAAACATCCGCGTGTGATTGCTTTTTCCCAATGTTACGGGCATTTGCCTACTTCTCTTTCCATTTTACTAATTGGAACCGTTTGTTAGTTTGAGAAGCAATCAAAATATTGAGATAATTTTCAGCGTAGCAGTCTTCTGCTTTTTAAAATGGCTCAAAATGAGAATGCTTATTTCTTATGGTACGCAACCAATTAGCTCTTTGAGTATCTTTCCAAGCGAGTTTCGTGAGATTATAGGACTTCAGGGAACTTAAGTGCCATCTTATAACACTTAAGACCCATTGATTCTTGCATGTTAACTAAACAGCCTATATAAGAAGGCAAAACAGTAAATAATAAATAGTAAATTTCAAAGACATTCTGAACTGTAGCAAAATTCAAACATTTTGTTAGAAAGAGCGGTACCTGTTGCCTAAGTTGTTTCGAGCCAACAGCACTTTTAACGAACTCGCAGAACTCGATGCTTTAGACTTACTCAATAACCGTATCGTCACCGCCTCGCAATCCGTGTCGAGCGATGACTTCAAGGACAATTGAGTTCGAGCTTAAGTTTTAAGGATAACTGAGATGAGTTTTAAAATGCATGAGAAACAGATAGGGTGTCAGTAAGTCAGATTGTACTATCATCGATAAGGAGAGTTACAAAACAAATGGTGAGTTGTACTGTTAAAAACACGGATTCCAAACTCACTCAAAAGTGGTGCTATCCACTTCGCGCAGGCCAAACGGGGCGCTCACTTCGATCGCATTGGCATCTCTTCTGTACACATCAAAGCGCGGATCTCCCCCAACCAAGTGACCGTCTTTTTGGAAGACAACAGTAGCTTGGCTGTTTGCTGGAGCTGTGCAAACGAATGAAAAGTGCTTCCACGGCGGGATAACAATCGACTCGGGATGGATAGTGAACTCCTGAGTCGGGTTATTAGCTAAATGAGAAAAAGGTAACCCTAAACTGAAGCAAACTGCGACCAACCAAGTTCTTCCCGAACCACCCATACGTGCGTACTAGTTAGAACTAGTTTTAAGCTCTTTCCATCATATTGGGAGATGCTATTAGAAAAATTTTTTGAAAATGCGAATTTTCATAAAAAGCGCACATCTCAAAAAGAACTCTTTGATTATTATAGCAAGTATAACTGTTGTATGTGGCAGAAAATAATCACTACTTACTTGACTCACTTTCCTAAGAAGCATAACAAGCAGCCACTACCTTTAATTTCGAAAATCAGCACAACTTATGCACAGGGGGATAAAGGAAGGGAAGAAAATTGCATTCCAAATAGGATAATCTATCACTTTCCAGCAGGATATTTTTAGCTACTCAAGAATACCTGCACAGAAGACGAGATCTTCATCAGAACCGTCAGAACAGTCCCTACGACCGTCGCAAAGGGCCACGGTGTTAATACAACCCCCATCCCTACACTGTGACTGGCCGTAGGGACAGGGATCATCGATGGCTATTTTGATATGATTCTTCTCCCCGGTAGTGAGGAAACACCTGTGAGGGAAAATACGTGGATAATGCTAACGTTGGGCTTGGTGATAGCATGTTGCCCCCAAGTCCATGTGTTCATAGAAGACGGCTGAAACGCATATAACATAAATGGAATAATGGCCCTTAGCTCCGGGTTCAGGCCAAAGCATTTAGATCCAAGCCTGAGGTTCCCCAGTCGCTATTACTATACTCTTATATTTGCATAAATGGTTTTCCGAATAAAAAAGATTACAGTATTAGTTTAAATTGTTGATAGAATAATTGCCGAAAAATCAAATAAAAGAGCTCTTCGATGGAGCCATAAAAGCAGATATTGCAGTCGCTCAAAAGGGCATCCCTTGCTTGAAGTTCAACTGTGGTAAGTAAAGTACTCTGAAACTCACTCAATTGTGGTATCATCGTTCCCACGAAGGCCTTGAGACGCAATCACTTGAATGACGTTTTTGTTGATCCGAACAACCTCAAACAATAGTTCATCGGCTACAAGCTTGCGAGTGTGTGAAAAAACGAGTTCAACGCGGCTGGAGGAGGGACCGATGCAGATGAACTGGAATTTTTGCCATGGGATGGTTCGAATCGAGCTGGGGGTAATAACCACACTAAACTTCGGCTCTAAAACATCAAATTGCATTGAGCCAACTCGAGTACGTATCTAAGGAAATGAAGCATACCTGTAAAAATAAAACTTACACCTTGCGAACTGATCAATACATCAGTGGTACTGCAGAAAAAGTGACAAACTTAGCTATTCACTTATTGTAAATATTGGAATGTATCAAATCCGATTTCAGCTATAAAAAAACAAACGACAAACACTTAATTTGGTTTTGAAAGGCGATCCTACTTTGGCAGAACACCGGAAATTCGTCAGAGGCATCCGGACATTGTGGATAGCCATCGCAGAACTGTGAGGAGCTGACGCATTCACCGCTCCTGCACTGCGACTGCCCGATGGCGCAATGTGACTCAACCGATAGGGCAACTTCGTTCCTTCCTCCCTCCGTCGTTTGACAACTGTATAAAAAGTCTGTTATAGTGTACGAGGTAATCTAAAGTAATAATTGGATTTTATTCCAACCAAATTATCTAATTAAAATGCAAAATACTCGTGTGAAAGTTAGGTTGGAAAATCAGTAATAAGCAATTGACACTGAATTGAGATGGAACCACAATGCTATGTTGTCGATTATTCCTAATTATGAGAAATAAATTGATACGAAAATCAAGCAAAAAAGCCATTCCAATGCCAGTATAGTAAAGAACGAAGTGTTCAAATAGGACTCACATAAATTTTGCAATGTTGCCATAGGCATGAATGCCGTAGGGCGCATGAACTAGGGCAGTCTGTGAGTTCGGCCTCTGCACGCGGAATCGGGGATCTCTGTCCACTGGGATCCCCGTCGTGGTATAGATAATCACTGGATCGCGACCGCGCTTTGCCTTGCAGGAGAAATTGAAAGAACTCCACGCCGCAATCCGTATTGAGGCTGGACTCACTTCCACTTCCAAAGGTGCAGCTGTCGGAAGAAAAGTAATCGAACGTTTGGAAACTGAATGTGTGGTAAATAGAACAGATTTGTCAAAGCAGAGCGGCTGATGCTGCAATAAGAGTGTTTTCGATACAAATCAGGGCCAATTTATTCGCTGTCATACGAATTTTGGACAACTTTCCATTAGCACAAATGTTATCACTTCCTGCAATGACATTCCAAAAAGCGTACACACGTAAATATTCACATGCGTGTCTAAAACTACTGAATACATAGCTTTGCAAATCGAGGCTTGAAAACCCTTTTAGAAAACAAAAATGATTTGAAGGGGAATGAAATAAGTGAATAGAATAAACGTAAATAACCAATTGGAAGCACGTGGAACTTCTTGAAACTAGGAAATCTATTCTGGAGCATAGTAATGTGATAAATTACCGAAAACTATTTAGCAAAAACTAGGCTGCCGTGAAGTCTTCCTGATCGTTGTAAAGTGTAGTATATACATTTGCAGAATATTTGTTTTGATATTATCCCGACGAGGACTTTGTCGATAGGTTACTAACATGCATCCATACATAGGCATTAAACAAGTACTACCCATTTCCCTGCCCTTAATGACCACGGCGAGAAAAAAGTAGGCAGGCTTGCCATTCAATGCAACACAATAAATAAATGAAGCAAAAATAGGATACAATATGTACATAATGCCATCCAAGGGAGTGCAATAGTCCTACCGAGACAAAATCGTCTATCCTCGTCCGACCCATCAGGGCAGTCCCCACGACCGTCGCAGACAGCGGCGGTGGGGATGCACAAATGTGAGTCACATTGAAACATGCCCCGACCGCACGGGTGGTCCACCGACACCGCCACTTGCTGCTGTCCTCCAGTCGGCGTTTTGCATCTTTAGTTTCGTAAAGTAATTAGCGAAATGCGCATACATGGTCCTACTCTTCATGCTTCCAAAGTGCACCACAAAGATATGCAGTTATGTAGTCAGCTATCATTAGAATCGGTTAATGGATTATAATTTTAATTTTCATTGGTTGTTGTAGACATTTTAACAAGGAGACAATGGTTTTAAACACATCTAGTGGTTAAACTGAGGTATTGGTATTATTGGATTATTATTTAAACCAAATAGGACTACCTTTCAAATCAAAACTTGGTCCTTTATAATGATGCTTCTACGTTGGAGGCATTAAAACGAAGAGCATGGAAGATTTTTATTGGAAGAAAGAGATAAATGCCTACGTAAATAACATCCCATCATTTGTCTCCAATAGGCCATTCATAGCTGTGACGGTAACGCTGTTCCAACTAGGTCTCTCGACTTTGAATCGACGGTCAGTAGAGACTGGGCGTTGATCCCTCTCCAGGTAGACCTCGGGCTTGATACCCTCCGGGGCAGTGCAAGTAAACTTAAAGGACTGCTTTGGACGAACGCTGACCGAATCAGGCATTATAATCAGATTCGGTGTTATGGCTGAGACCGAAAATGATTTATAACTACTAATCACATAATTTATAATAACTTCCAACGTCGCGAGTATTTACCTTCGCAAAACCTCTCATCTAAACCATCTTTGCAGTCGCGCTTTCCATCACACAGTGAAGAGGATTGAATACAGGTCCCGTCTGCGCATTGGTAGCTGTCGCTAGGACATGTCTGCTCGATGAGGATGTCGATGGGCTTCTGTACACCTGTTTCCAGTACGCACCTATTAGTCCAAAGACGTGATGAGTTGAACTATCCACTTAATTTTAACAAGTAGCCATAAGACGTACCAAACTTTCAGGGCGCTTTTACCACGCAAGCCATAAGATGCGCCAGCAACAATTTCGTTTTTGCGTGGCCAGGACACCGTAAAGCGTCTATCATCGTCCAAAGCCTTTCCACTGCCGTCAATGATGAATTTCGGATGGAATCCAGGCGGAGCATGACAGGTAAAGGTGAAAGGAATCCACGGTCTACGACGAATCTCACTGGGTGTAATCATTAGTTCGTCGCTACTTGTAGCCAAATTGACATTAGGTAGTTGGCGTTCTGATAAAAATAAGTAAGAAATGGAGAGGGGTATGCGAAAGCTGAAAGCGATGGACATCATACTAGTGCAAAAAGTTTGATGAAAGAGGCTTTATCAAACGCGAGGTCACGATTAGGAAAAAATTTTCTTGCAAAACTAATGTGTCTGCTGGAACTATGAGGTGATTCTAACTGCAGCAGCTCAGTTCAAAATTTCATGTCAGGTAGTAAAACCGCATATTTTTCTAAATTTTTAATGTTTCCTATTTTCAATTGGTTAAATAATTAATGCTGAACCGATTTTGCTAAGTGCGGTACATTTGTCAAGCACGACATTAGGAGCTTCTCTGCTTAAAAAAACAGGAAGAAACGTATAAAAAGCCAGAGGGTATCGTGCAGTGGTGTCTATGAACTCACGTGGACAAAGGATGTGATTCTCATCTGACGCATCAGGGCAGTCAATTCTGCCATCGCAGAATGAAGAGGTAGGTAGACATGTACCATCTCCGCATTGACTCTGATCTAGCGAGCATTGCAACTCAATATTCACCCTGATGTACTGCCGGGTCCCTGGCTCCATCAAGCACCTAAAATCATCAAAACAAAACAAGTTCATTTTTTCCTTAAGAGGTATGAGATTATGCTTAGCGAATGACGCTTTATGATCAAAATTTGAGGAGAAGTTTTGCCTCACTTACATGACGAGTAAGTTGGCTACAAATTATCGTAGCAAAGTTGCGTTAGCAATTTGTAATCTCCCCTCAGTTTCCTTTGAAATTGCTTGATGAAATCCAAAAATTACCAAACGGACTTTTGCAACAAATTTGATTTTTTTACATTCACAAACCAGCATTCTTACGCTGCTGTGTGGGCCTCGATCAAAATGGTTTACATCTTTATAGGAATAACAGTTCAAGGAAGAATCATCCCTTCAATTTTAAAGACGGCATTAAAAGAATACGGGCTTATCTCCTGTTCTTTGTAACTGTGAAAAGTAGATAACGGACACTATTTAAGACTAGCCAAGACTTTAATTGATTTGATTGATTGATATTTGGAATTTATAAGCTTCCAAAATTGAGCTAAAAGCACTTGCTTTACTCTCCTTTACGTACGATGCACACTAAAGTTGCAAAAGTATATTAAGGCTGCCCATAAATGTGTGTTTCACCTGTCTTGAAAGCATGAAATAAGTTTGCAGCATTGCAGGGATTTTGTTATGCAACCCCAAAATTTGCAACGGCGAAGTTACATTGGTGTATAGACCCTGGATTTAATACCTCACAAGTGCCTTTTATGGAAGCGAAATTCTCCCAATTATTCTTTATTGTGCCTAATTGAAGTACGATATTACATTAATAAGCTTGCTAGAAAGCAAAATACATAATTGGTAAGCACCAAAGAAGAATGTGTGTTTGTTTGCATGTTGGTTGACACTGACATGAATGGCTGGTGTCCTTTGAATAGTATTATTGCGAAATGTTAACCCAAGATGGCCTTTGCTTCCAAAATAGCACTTTACGTATGTATGGAAAATAAGTAGAGGGTGTTGATTACATAAAGGTGATGCCTTTGTCGACTTCCTGCAATCCATAGACTGCTCTGACCCGAATTGTGTTGGGAGGCGATCGCGTTACTACAAATCTCGGATCTTCTTCCGCGATGAGATTTGGCGTGGCCGGAATGATTACCAATGGGCGTGATCCCTCCAGTGCTGAGCAAGTGAATTCGAAAGGTCGGCGTGGAAGGACGGTGATGTTCTGCGATGAGCTAGGTGACTCAAACTCTGAAATATGTAAGTCTCTTCTGTTTTGCTTGTTTGAATATAGTTAAGCATTTCAAACTAAGAAGTTTAAGAAATTTTTTTGATTTTGAGATGAGGTAGAAGAAAATTGAGTTGTGTTAAGAGCTTCAGTAAGCACAATACAACAAACTATGTGGGAAGTACCTCATAGTGTTTTAAAAGCATTTGGTTATCAAAAAGAAGTGTTCTAGAAAGAGCAGACAATATTTGCTTCTTGGATAGAATTATTCGAAGACTATTCGATAATTCCATAGCAGTCCAAGGCTTTATTTTGTGAAAAGGTTGCAGTAGGGGGTGCAATTCCAATCACCAAAAGCATTACAAATAGCGTGGTCTGCAAGCTATTTCAAAAACCCCTCACGGGCAATTAATCATCCTCATGATGCCATACCGTTCTTTACCCAACAACTGTACTTCTTGAAAACCTTTTCCAGAAACTTATTCATTAATAACTAAATTAAATAGTCAGATCTATGGCAAACTTGATTTGCTCTGGCGCCTTGGTAAAACCAGTATGATTTTTATATTCTTTTATGCAAGGGAAATGTTCTAGCTTTTTTTAAAATTCCAGCAATCTTGTTTGGAAAATGTCAAGCATTTTCTATTACAGGAATTGCCTTAATCGGATTTTTTAAATATAACCTGCCAAAAAAAGAAATTCAAGTTTGTTAACTAAACAGTTTATGAAAGACTCGTGATTTGGCTCCGAAAGCCTAATATATGCATTGTCAGCAAGCATCGTCAGTGCCTATTCAAGCAGACGAGCAAAAGGGGACTGACCAGCGCAGAACTGCTCATCTTCATCCGAGCCGTCCAGACAGTTATAGACACGGTCGCAGATTTGATGAGAAACAAAACAAGAACCGTCCCTGCAGCTGTACATCCCCTTTGGACACACCGGGAGGATAACCACTTCCACACCTCGCCGTTCACCTCCCTCAACGTAACACCTTTGCGTGACGCAAAAGACAGGAAAAATAGACCATTTTTCTGCTGAGGGCTACCCAAATCACATTTAGCATCAAGTTTTGTGTTGGACGAGGTCTTGCGCATGGAAGAGATATATCGGTTTACTTCCTATATTTACTTTAAGTCATTGGGAGAACGAAAAATTCTCCTTCCGTATTAAAACCGGAAAGGGAATTTAATGTGAAGCTTGCCTTCAGGCCTGTTAGAGGTTTTTAGTTTTCCAAGTGTTTCCTATGCTTAGCTAATATTATTGTTGGGTGGCATTGGTCCTGAAATAGATAACCTGAATTTTCGATCCTACTTCGTCAATTCTTTAAACTTATTTTGCTACATTCCACCATTCTAACTAATCCTAGTCTTGCCGTTTTGACAGAAGCTTGAGGTTGCAATAGTTTCGCATAGCTTTATTTGAAAGTTTTGTCGGTGTTTGAATGGAAACACAAAAACATGTAGAAATGACATTGACTTGCAGTACGGCGGCTTGGCAGGAAGCAGACGCATTCCAATCCTTAGAAATTTTTAGATGCTCCCCTAATATCATGCCTGACAAACCTTGAAATTCTCAGAATTGTGGAACCTTAATAAAGAAGCATGTTGTAACGGAGAAGCAAATTATCTGGACATGGTCAAAATCAACCCTTCCATGGTGCTATGAAAAAGTTGGGTTAATAAGGTCAAGAAGATGCATTGGTCTTATTTTAGGGATAGTACGACCCCTAATAATTTACCCTATCTATCGACAGTCGTATGACTCCTTGCTGGAGTGTTATTACTCAACACAATTGCTTACCAAAAGGAATTGAGGCCAAGGGTTAAATCGTCTGTGACTTAAGGCCAATATTTTATTACCATCAATTCCTTGCCACCTGCTTTTCGAATGGTCCAGATTAAAGTTAACAAAGACATCAGCGACAGCAGTTTACTGAAGTGAAATTTTTGGGGATTTTTGATTATTTCTAAAACGCTCGTTTTTGAGAAAAAATATGGATTTCGAATGGAAAGTGTGCAATTTCAGACCAGCGAATCGCATTTGTGAGGGCTTGGAATGTAGTGAATTCAAAGCAGCAAACAATTTCAGGCAAATGATTGCCATTGTCACCCTATCGGTTTAGAATCCAATGCATAAAAATTTGTAAAAGTGATGTATTTCAACACAAAGAGTTTGCAAAATACCAAAATGACCTCATCACTGCTGCTATAGTGATAGCCGCGGTAAAATTTTGGCTCAAACTGCCCATCTTCGGAAGTGAGTCAAGACCGCTCTAAAAAGTTTTGTTCTCTGTCACAAACATTTTGAAAATAATATTCCCCATGTTGATTTTGCAGTCGTTGTACGTGAAGACGTCCCAACTTCCACTTCCAGCATTTGATCTATTATTACTCAAATTAGTTATTCATCAGCAGGCAGTTAAAAATTGGCTTGTAAAAAGAATTATTGGATTTTAAAAGGTTCAAAGGCTTACTCCAGTGTCATATTTCCGTGCATTTCTCGAAAACCTCGGTTAGCAGTGACAGTAATCGTGTTCTCAGAGGGCCGGTTCATGGTAAGACCTAAACTTCCATTGATCTGTGTGCTGGTTCCTTTGAGGACAACAATTGGACGACTTTGTTCAGAGGCAGTGCAAGTAAAATTGAAGGCTTCCCAGGGGAGTCGAACAATCCGCTCAGGTTTTACGATCACCCGTCTGTAAGCTGAGAAGTGGTTAGGCTGTAAAGGCTGGGTAGATTCGACAGGGTAAAGAACACTTGGTTAAGGTATATGTGGTATTACGAAGAAAAGCGCTAAAAATAAATTAAATTCTATTAGAGTAATGTAGTCTCGACTAAGAAGGACTAGGTTTTTACTTGAAAAATAACATTAAAAGGAGGTGAAAGTGTTTACTTGGTAAGACTGAGTCAAAACTGTCACGTAAATATTCTGAACCATTAATGGCACCTCATCTTTATTTGCATAATCCCATAAATTTACAAAAACATAAAGGATTTAAACATAAATGTGATACTTAGTAAATATTTCACCTTGCATCACATTAAAGGTTATGTGTGCCTTGAACTAATCAACTAATATCTGAAATAACGAGATTTGATTACGTGATATTGCTTCACAAAATTCAGGACCAATAAGAAAACGGAGAATTTCGCCACAAAACTAGAAAGAAACGCTTCCACATGAGGTCAATTTTAACGAGATTTAGCATGAGGACAGCTGTCACAGAAACATTTGAGTTAAAGGAACAATGGGATCCCTCAGGTTTCACACAAAGAGCAGTCAGGCTTAATGCCTGACGACGCTAGAGCGAATTGGAAAAGGTGAAAACACGACAAACGTTACTACCGAGATAATAAAGCTGACTAAATTATAGGTCCACAACCACCCTCAGTAAGACACAAAATGAAGACAGCATTAGTGTTTCCACAATGAAGAAG